AAACTCAATGGGGGTGGGATAATACATGTAGATTAACGGAGGAATCACCTCCCTCTTATTCTAAGACACAGGCTGGAGGGACGTGACACAGCCTGTGACTGGCAGAAATCTGCCCACACCATGTTATTACAAAATAATAAAGATTTAATCAATATAATTAAAATGTTAATAAAATTTATTATTATTAAATATATATTTATATGCCATATTAAAACAGTTTATTGGTATTATTTATTTATTTTTACTCTGTATCCCAAAGACTGTTTTTTTTTTTTAACATGTGACCAGCAGCAGAGGACTAGAAGCTCCTCCTGCATATGTTTTCCTGCAGACAGGCTAGGAAAGATCTGGGTCATGTGACAGTTGTATATTGATTAGAAAAAAGGTACTTTTGCGCCTTTTTTGTATTAAAATAATGACAGTGCCATCATCCACATACAGAAATAGAAGGGATAATGTAAATAAAACAGTGTGTATTTAGTATCCCTTTAAAGATCTACTTCTATTTTATTCATCAGCTAAAAAATAAACTTAATCTAAAACGTTAGTAAATGTTTTCAGTGGATGAGCAAGACAAGGGCCAGCAGCACTGTACAGCTCCCTCAAAACCATTTATACAAATGCCAAAGCACACAGTACAGGCAGTTTTCTTTGACCTTGCAGTTTGTTCCAAGAACTGGAAGAGCCAGAACACGCGACTGCTCGGTACTGCCTCCTGTATAAGGGCAAAAGTAATATTTCACTTTACAGATTGAAGGAAATTAATTTGTCATTAGTGGCCTAATGAACACAATCGTTGTATTTTAAGCAGGTAACATATACACATGTATCTGACCATAAACAGGTAGGCATACTAATCGAACAGTCAGATCTACAAGTAAAACAGAAGTATCTAGGGCCTAAAGCTGAACTCCAGGTATGGCCTAATTGAATTTTTACATTGGTCCAACTTGGACCAACGGAAGCAAGCATATCTCATACTTAAGTAACTGCTGGGAAGTTAACGATCACTCTAGTAGCGCTGACTACTACAGTGATTGTCAGCCTCCCCAGTGGTCCCTCGGGTATCAGATATGTATACGTGCACTGTGGACTAGAGTAAGTATGCAATTAAAATCATGCTTGGGGTTCAGCTTTCAAGAGGCCACCAGTATAGATCATATTATCTGCTCACTAGGCCTCATAAATAAAAACTAAAAAAGTAAACCTAGAGCTGTTCCCTGTTTGAGCCTGTCTGCTTGCATATATTTTAACATGAGTTACAACATTGCCATCTTGGATGTTGTTTTGTATGGATAACACAGATGCTTTGCCCTAGATTTCGGAATGCATGCTATAAAGGAGTGTTATGAAATATCCATTGCATTATTCCAGCAATACCTGTTATTTCTGTTGTAAAATAATAGGATTGGTCATAATGACGTTACTGTGAGAGCAGTGCTAAAGCGCGCTGTTCTCTAAGCCTAGCAATCTGGTAATAAAAGTTGTAATAGTCTTATCTAATAGGCCCTGTCATACTTATCTTTCATTCACTATTTGGAGAACCAATGACACTGATACAAGCATGTACAAATCAAGCGCCTTGACACTCTATATATATACACTATGGGGTTGATTTACTAACACTGGAGAGTGCAAAATTTGTTGCCGCTCTGCATAGAAACCAATCAGCTTCCAGGTTTTTTTTTGTCAAAGTTTAATTAAACAAGCTGAAGTTAGAAGCTGATTGGCTACCATGCACAGCTGCACCAGATTTTGCACTCTCCAGTTTTACTAATTCAGCCCCTATATTACCAAAAATTGGTGGAACCTGGCCATTGCACTTAAATGGGCTTGCTGAACATCACATTCTAAAACTATGGGAATTAATATTGAGTAGACTACACCCCATTTGTGGCGGGAACAGCCTACACTCTTTCGCGAAGGCTTTCCACAACATTTTAGAGTTCATCTGTGGACATGTATGACCATTCAGTCAAAAGAGATCAGCAAGATTTATTGGATAAATTACTCATGTTATATGAGAAGACCTGGCTAAAATCATCACCCCAATTTATATCAAAGGTGTTCAATAGGGTTGATGTTAAAGCTGAGTTCTGGACCCCGAAAAAAAAAAATTAAAAAAGTCAGCAGCTACAAATTCTGTAGCTGCTGACTTTTAATATTAGGGCACTAATATTACCTGTCCAGGGATCCAGCGGCATCCTCCCCCCAAGCCGACTCTTCAATCGGCTGTCGGGTGCTGGCGCCGCCATCTTGACTACAGGAAACCGGCAGTGAAGCCTTGTGGCTTCACAGCTGGTTTCCTACTGCACATGCACGTAGCATGCTGCACTTTGTGAATGAGCCACAGGTCTCTGGAACCTGTGAAGTGTCCAGAGGACTGCGGGGGACGGACAATCTTCCAAATGGCCATGGCAAACTAAGCCGGAAGTGGGAGTGGGTACCTGTAAAAAAACCAGGTACCTGCTCCCCCCCTAAGGTGCCAAATGAGGCAGGGGAGGGGGAGGGGGGGAAGCAGAGCTTCCACGTTTGGGTGGAACTCTGCTTTAAGCACAATAATGAGACACCAACTAAAGCCTGAACAGCACCGTATACATGTCAAGGCTAACTTTGCCATGGAATAGGAAGATTACCAAAATTAAAGCTGAATTCCATATATGATCTTAATTGCATACTTAGATTGGTCCAGCTTAGAATAATGTAACTAGGCACATTTCATACCTGAAGGACCACTGTGGAATCTGACAGTCACTGTAGTTGTTGGCACAGCTACAGTAATCAAAGCTTTATTGATCACAGGGGATCACTTGCTTGGCAACACTGCCTTTCACAGGATGTCTTGTATTTTTTCAATGAATACAAGGTGTTCTTTCATTGCATAAGGCAGAGATTTTCACCAACCTCCCATCTACTTTGTCCACTGAAAACATACAAGCCATTCCATGACTGGTGGCAGTCTCAAGTGAGCAATCTCCCATGGACAGTATGAAGAAAGCAGCCGCTTGGCACAGGACCCCAAAGATAACAGTGATCATTGTAGTAGTACAGCTACTACTTTTGGCACATTTTGTGTGGACAGTGAAAAACAGTTTTGCTTTTGACTGCTGGAGATTGCTTGTGGTTGTTATTGTTATTTTCTTCTTTGGGGTCTTTTCTAGCAGTTTTTTCTTTTTAATTTAATTTAATAATTAATTTAATTTTAATGTTGATAAATGTAAAGTTATGCACTTGGAGGTTAGGAATATGCATGCATCATACATCAAATCCCTGAATTTTTGTATAAAACTGCTCGCAGGGACTATTCCCAATGTGCCAGATGTGTACAATCTCCTGGCTCCCTTATACTGCATCTACTACCATTGCTAATGGAGGTGCTAGATACCCTAAATACTTTATATGGTTTTCCTCTAACCTCTAACCCTGTCTTATGTCTCTTAGGGCTTGTTCACACTTGACTAAGTTTCTAACTCTTAACAAATGCTCCCATAGTGTTAGTATGGGTGTTAGACAGGCGTTATTGAGCTTTAGTATGGGTGTTAGACAGGCGTTATTGAGCTTTAGTAGACTGGCGTTTTACAGACATTAAGTACTAAAACTACACCACAAATGCCTATAATAAACTGTAATGTTATCAACACTGCAAACTCCCCGAAAATGCCTGCCAGCGTGTTTGAAAAACATCACCATAGACTTGAATGGGAAGCTTTGAATGACTTCAGACTTCTCCAGACAGGACATGGGGCTTCAATTTGGAAGCAACATGACACTAACGCTTCATGTATTGATAATGTGAACAGCACTGTGTGCTGTCCATAGTATAATTTCCATAGGCATTTGAGGAGCATTACAAACGCCCCTTAAATGCCTGCTTTCAATGCCAGTGTGAACTAGGCCTTAGGGTATGTGAACTCTACTCATCTGGACCCTAATCAGACACTAGCAATTCTAAGGTTACTCTTTGACCAGCTGGGTCATGGCTAATCCTGGGTACACCTTGTGTTCCCTGGGATGGTTGCAACCACCACCTAAAGAGCTCTTGTACAATGTTGACACAATATATCTGTACTACAGATGTGTCATGCAGTTTCTGCTGGTTCTGAGTTGTATATATTGGTGTTGCTGTCTACCTCTGGTGCTTTGGTGCCCTCAGAAGAAACCTCTCTTTTTTTTTTTAATTTCTTTTTTGTGATTTTATACCTGTTACAAAAACAATTTAAAAAATAAAATCTAATTTAAAAAATTAATTATTGCCTTCTGTAGCCCTTTGTGTTACATATCTGTTTTAGGATTACAAGCCAAATGCTTCATCAGTATAAGCACATCAATAATCAGAAAGCCACTGAGCCAGTGATCATTAAAAATTTAGTTGACCTTTCCTGCATATTTAAAAAAAACAAACAGATTTTTTAAAAATACTACTTCTTTTCCACTTTATTTCCATAGTCCATGCGTGACTTATCCACAAAAAACTCCCATGTAGCCAAACCTACACATAGGCAGGACAGTTCAAAAGTTAAGAGTGCAGCCCCAGCAGTGCTCTGGCTGTCAAAATACCCAAACTGTGCCTGCATTTGATTGGTTGCAGGCACAGTTTGGCCAACAAATTTTCTACACAGCTCCTTCAATTTTTCAATTGAGGTATGATGTCGGGGCAGAAGAGGGATGTCAAAGCCACCAATGGAGTGAATTACAGCTGGTTCCTGAGGAAAACTCAATGTATGGGCAGCTTAAAGGTAGATGAGGAGTGGAAGTACTGAAACCATGCAGATCAATGTAAATAGTGAATAATGGTACACTTGACACACGGAGTATAATATGCAGAATATCTAGTTGGTTAACCTTTCTACCTGTAATTACTTTGAGTATTCATGGCCCAGGTTCCATCCTGGTGTCTGAAGATAAAACGTAGCCATGTCGGCCAAACATTATAGAGCTAGATTTTTTTTTTAGGTTAAAGTTCTTCTTTAAAACCAAGGTGAAACATTCAGTTAGTTTACCTGTACATCCAGTTTGTCCTTTCTTTCCAGAATAACCAGGATTGCAGTGGCAGATGAACGAGCCTTTTGTGTTCTCACAACTTCCACTCAGACAGATGTTATCATGGAGTTCACACTCATCAACATCTGAAACACAATACACTTGTCATGTTGGGTGGGAAGTGATAAATACACCATGAACATCTGTATACAGTACAGGCTTCCAAAGACATGAGATGACACAACTTCGCAGACATACAAGCTTTTTTTTTTTACTGTCTGCCATAAAGGATGACCAAGTGCTGACAACCTCCTTTAACAGTAAAAAAAATACTGGGCCTAGGGTAAAACATCAAAATGTAGTATACCAGCTCTGAACGGCTACTGTGTTTTTCTAAAATGACTCTGTCACTTAGTCAAAGGGATTGATTTAGGCCTCTTTCACATGGGGGAGGGGGGGAATAATCAATGCATATGCTGTAAGAGGGCCATGTTTACCCACATGGAGATTCACAAGTGTTCCATGCATCTGATGTCAATTGGGATTCAGTAGATTTAGTAGTCCCAATATGACATCCATGTGGTTGCAGGAGCATGGCTCAAAATGCAGACAGTGCAAGTTCAGAAACATGCATCCACATCCACATAGAAGTCATATTGGGAGCAGCGGCTGTGTCCATGCAGCTGCTGTGTCACAATTTAAATCAAAGGGATTGCCTGCATGGGGATGCAAGGAACACCCGTGCATCCTCGTGTGGGTAAACACGGCCCTCACACGAGGTACGCATTGATATGCCATGTGTGATCAAGGCCTTACTATAGGCAAATAGGGTGTGCACTTTGCAAGAGAATTTTCCCTCAGCTTGGAGAATATGGTATAAATTCACTTTGCAAAGATCACTCAAACACGTGCAAGAAAAAAAAACAAAACAGTATTTTCGATTGCACATGATTGGATAATTGGAATCCCCAGGGCTTCACCTCATTCAGTAGCTCTGGGGAAAAATTTCTTCAAAAGTGCCTATTTGCCTTTAGTAAAGCAACCCAAAGTATCTTTACTTATCTCTCCTGCTGTATTCTCTTGTTCCTCTTGCTAACCTCCATGTATATGTAATGAGAGGAGATCAGCAGGAGGAACCAGAGAATGCAGTAGGGGACCCAGGAGATCAATATTTCCAGAAGGGCGAATCTCGGATATGTATAACTTTTACATATTTTTCAGCTTGTATTATGAGCATTTTATTGCTTAGCAAGTTAGTTACAGTAGTTTTTTTATCTATTTATTCTTATGTAAGATGTTAATTTGTACATTTCATAGTGCACCTCATAGGAAATGAAGGCACAAAAATAGCATTATTTAGATGGGCAATGTACTTTGCAAACTAGAACACTACAATACACATTGAACATCAGTGTACCCATGATGGTTCAGTTGCTATAGTAAATCAACTCCAGGGCATGTTTTTTTTAAGTCATAGCAGATTAATAGACTTACATTAGGGGAAAAGAACAGGAAAATATAAGCACTGTGTTGCAGAAAATCTGCATGTAATGAACACATGTGGTTGCCCCATGTACGTGTGCTTGAAAACTATTCAGAAAAAAAGTTAAAAGAATAAGAAATATTGATAAAATGAATTATTCTAAAATAAAGTTCAAATTTTTTTTTTTGATACATGCCACAAGTCCAATATATTCTCTGCCATCTTCTAATAGGTTACCTCTAAGGATGATTATCTTAGGTCTGAATCACTGCTATTTACTGTAAAAATCAGTTTCAGTGATAACAGTTCCTACAGCCCAAGCTTTTATTCTGGTGCTGTGGCTTAGAATTCCAGCTCTAACACAGTGAAGGATCCTGTCATTCACCCTCCTTTTCCTCTGAAATTGCCCATGCACAAAATGCCTTATTATACTGTACACAGAATACAAGTTGTTTTGTGAGTGGACAAGAGAAGAGGTGGGCAGGTAAACAACAGGATCTATTGTTGTCCATTCACAGAATGCCTTTTATTCTAAGTACCTGAAATAAATTCTGTGAACAGAATACAAGGTGTTTTGTGAATGTGCAAGGGGGGAGAAAGGGGAGGGTGAACGCCAGGATCCCTTCACTGTAAGAAAGCTGTAACTCTCAGCCACAGCCCTGAAAGACGCACGTGGGCTAAAGGATCCAGCATCAATGAAGCTATGATTTGTACAGTAAACAGCAGTGATTCGGGCCTAGGATATTGATCAATAAAGGTAATTTATTTGAATTGTGGTGTGTAAAAAAATATTTTTTTTTCCGCTTTAAGATGAGAACCATCACATATAGTATGTTGTATCTATTAAGAAAATATACAGAAGTTGAAAGCACATTTTAACAAAACATAAAATTTGCTGATGGAATACACCTTCTATCACAGTAAATTGTTCATCCCAGGTTAAACTGAACGTACAGATCTGTCCCTTGAATCTGATGTAAGGTTGGAAGAATACACACTGTCTACATACTTGATAATCCTTTAAAGGATAATTTTACCGTTGGAACATGTTACACATTCCGCCTGTGTTTAGGGTAGAACATGCAACATGTTACAGCATTTACAGTCTCCCGATCCCCCCTCCCTGTGATAGCGTGATGGGGATCTTCTCCTCACACAATTTGTCACAATCTGAAAACAGCACTTTGCCCTCATGGCCACATCATTTATTTAGTTTTCTGTGAATAATGTCTACAAGTACAGTCACCCATTGTGACTGAAGGCTTGTATTTCTCAATGAACTACGAGGGCACTGGTGAGTGCTCCATTGATGTACAGGAATCTTTGATGGCACCCATGATCTGCTGATCGCAGGTGCATTGCTCTGCAGGCTCCTTAGGAAAAAAATAATAAATGCTAATTTTTTTACCTGCATTTATTTTTTTTCAAAAGGTGAACTTATCTTCTAAATGTATTTTCTAATCATATTCAAGCATATCTGAAACTGTAATTTACCTAGACAGGTCTTCATATCAACAGATGCCATGTAACCATCGAAGCAGAGGCAGCGGTACTCTCCGGGTATGTTTGTACATTGGCCTCCATCACAAATATTGGGGTTTGTTTCACACTCATCGATATCTAAAGAGAAACAAGTAGAAGAAACCTGTAAAACAGCTGTACACCCAAATTACTATAGTACTTTAAATAACAAAATCAAAAACGCAATATGAGCAGACGGACAATGTTTAGTATTTTTAATGATTCAGGGGCACATCTGAAGCCCAGCATAGCACAATGGCAGCTGAAGGCATCCATTGTATTCCCGAGTGAAACAAAAATGCCAACTGCCCCAATTTCTAAATAGCTTTAAGAGTAAGTTGTAAACCACTGATTTTGCCAGCCAACTGTCACTTAGCAAAAGAGTAAGGATTTTAGAAACTTTACTCCCTCTTTGAAAGCAATTTGATTTTTAAAATGGAAACAGAAATTCCCTTTAAGAAAGATATGTGTTTAGCATTCAGATAAAATCCCCGGAGTAACTCAGGCCCTTCATTACTGACTTCTACCCTATGTACTGCAGTGTTGAAGATCAGATTATATAAAAAATGTCCTGTCTTGCATGTGGTCAGACCGAGAAACCATTCGGGACCTGTTTTGTTCTAGCTTAAGCATTCCATTCCAAATAGAGAAAAAGTTTGTCAGTATTTGCACAATAAATCTATGTTCTTGTAAATAGACTATTATGTAGATGGCTTTATCTTGGCGGGAAACTGCCTGGCTGCTTCACCCCTCGCCAAAGTGGGTCACCCAATGGTTTACTTAAGTAAAGGTCTAGGAAAAGTCTCAGTTTTCTTTCCTTTGCTGAGTAATAGCATAGTTATCCCATATTATTTCATTAGGATCCTATCGGTTCCACAGCTTAGACTAGTTTTATGAAAATCTGTCTCTTACGTTTTGATAATGCTAAGCCTCTGATTAAACAAGAGGGTGGCATTTGTTGTTTGAACCATTTATTGCTTGTTTGCTAAAATTAGGGCCCTTTCAGTTTTTGATCAGTTTTTCACTTAAAAAATGCAGAAGAAAAATGCAGAAAAAAATGCATCCCACCAAATCCTATGGAACTCTCCACACTGGTCAGTTGCATTTTTAAAAGTTCTGCCTGCTGCATATTTGGCACCTGTTTGATGCGTTATTAAAATCGCAACAAAAATGCATATCTCCATTGAAATGCATTGAAAATGCACCAAAAACATGGCGTTTTTGGTGCATTTTTCCATTTTCACAGGAGCATGCTGATGTCAGGAAAACCAGAAAATGCACTGGAAACATGACAAAAATGCATATGCATTGAGAATGATTTTTGAACATATTTTTCCTTATAAAAATTCGTATCAGCTTATGTCCTTTTCTAAACCAAGCACTGTAATTTCTGCATGTCAAAGCCCTCTGCTGATCATGTCCACTGCTAGCTCACTCTGAACATACAGAACCTATACTGTATGGGTGGCACAGTGGCTAAATGGTTAGCACTTCCGCCTGGCAGTACTAGGGTCGTCGGTTCAAATCCCAACCATGGCACCACCTGCCTGGAGTTTGCATGTTCTCCCTGCGCCTGCGTGGGTTTCCTCCGGGTACTCTGGTTTCCTCCCACACTCCAAAGACATGCTGGTAGGTTAATTGGCTCCTGTCTAAATTGTCCCTAGTATGTGTATGTATGAATGTGAGTTAGGGACCTTAGATTGTATGCCCCTTGAGGGTTAGGGACTGATGTGAATGTACAATATATATGGAAAGTGCTGCGTAAATTGACAGAGCTATATGAAGTACCTGTAATAAATAAATAAATATACTGAGAGATCTCCCAGTTAATCTAAATTAGGCAATGCATTTGGTGCACAATCTGTACACAGAGAAAGAATCAAGGCAAATGAGTGGTAAGTGGTATACTGTATGTTCCTATCATCTTCACCCAAAGCACTAGAACTCAAAACAAAAAAAAAAATTCTATTTAAATTTTAATTTTTTAATAGAGTAAAGGAGGGTTATAAGAAGAGTTAAAACTCCATAGCAGTTCTTTTATTTTTTTCCCATTGGGAAGATTTCCCTTTCTTTTCCTGTCCAATAGCCAAAACAGGAAGTGAGGGGGAATCCCTCCAAAAATGAGGGAATTCCTGGTTGTTACCACGGTCACTAAAACAAGTTTCCTCATTGGAAGATTTCTCCTATATTCCTGTTCTGGTGGAAACACAAAAATTGGGATGTTCCTTCACTTTCACCCTCAGTGATGATGGTAAACAGGAAAAATATAGAGAGGACGAATCTTCCTAATGGGGCACAGACAGCAATAATAGAAGCTTAAAGATGTTCTAATTACTCTCTACTCTATCCAAAACTAAAAAAAAAAGTCTTGCAGCGGCACGGTACTCCTCACAAATTTAATAAGCTTTGGGACCTCTGGCTGCAAGTACCAGGGTCAGCCCCTCTGCCCTTATTATCCTTAAGAACTTTCCAACGTTGCAATTGATAAGAGGAATGGAAATACAGGGCAGTTGGGAAAGGTGTCCGGCAATGGGTCAATATATACATCAGAAATTGTCATGGTCTATGTTTGCTAACTTGCTTCTTAAGATGGAGCTGGGATCAATACATGGTTTCCTTCTAAGCGATCACAGGTTCTATTTGTATTCAAAAAAATTTGGTACGTTTGAAAGATGTGGTGATGATCTCCCAATGTTTTCTGTTTTACTGTAATACTGGCCTTAACCCTATTCTCACACACAGCTGACAAGTTGGTACTGTGAAAATGTAATGTTTACTACTGTATGCCATGTTCTACTTTGGTGTTTTGTTCCATATTCTTTTTCTTTTTGGAGTTTGTAAAAATGATTTGGGAAAAAAAATGTTTTACCTTTTGAGTCTATTTATAGACAGTAAGCACCTTCACAGACAGCTATAGTTACATCATATCTGTAACATCTAAGTATTTGTTAGGAATGTATAGCTTCTGTTCCTGTACAATAGTTAATCAAACATCAAAAACATTGGGAATACATATGGGTACTGACATAACAACAATGTTGATGTCTAGTGCAAAAAAAAACCTTTACTCATCACTAGCTTCAAATAAATGAAGTAAAGAAACCCCTTTATAAAACACAATAAAACAATGCTCTAATTCCTCTGCAATGGAAGAGCATGCAGGTGACAGGCTCCTGTGACAATTCCCTTTTTCTTTTTTTTTATTTATATGATGTTCTCACATAATGGCCACGAGTATACTTTGCTCAATCCATTTCATATTACACTAGCCTAGTGTTTTTTTTTGCAAAAGCTATATAATATGTAATCTCAATAAAGGCTAATTTTAAAAAACTTCATGCTACCCAGGATCCACGTTTCGTGGACTCCCTTCTGGAGTGGTCTATAGCTAGGAAATTCCCAGGGGATCTCAACCCCTATACCAACTACGCCCACCTCCCTCCCTTTTTTTTTCTCCTGGTTCTACTACATTTTTACTGTTTGAGATGCTCATGCATGTCTCATCTGAGCTGTAAATTCCAATGCTTAACTTTGAATATATCTTTGGAAACTATAATGTGAGCACTAAACTGCACCTGATATTGTAATAAAAATTAATTAAGGGGAAAAAAGTGATACCTTTATTGGATAACTGGGGTTATCAAAGATTCTATTGTGACCCCCTAAGACCCTCTTCAGGCTTTACACAATTATATAAACCCTGAAGAAGGAACCTAACAAGAAAAAAGCAAATAAGATAGCAAATAAGCAGTATCAAAAAAAGTAGGATACATGTTTATGTATAAAGGTATCTAAAAAGAGTAAGCATGTAATGGGTCCTGGATGTACTCACAGCCCATCCCCTTCTCTAATATATAGTTGACAAAAAAGCCCGGTGAGGCATGTCAAGGTATTGTCGGGCATATCATAACAGGGCTTTTTTGTGGCATTGGCACAGTAAAGGCTTCTTTCTGGCAACTTGACCATACAGCTCACTTTTGTTTAATAATTGTGTTGTGCTCCTTAAAAAAATCCACATCGTATTTTTCCCGAGCAGCCTGTATTTCTTTTTCTTTGTATCCCACACAATTCTTCTGGCAGTTGTGGCTGCAATCATTCTTGGTCTACTTGACCTTGGCTTGATATCAAGAGATCTCAGAAGTGAATGAACAGTATTGGCTGGCATATTCAAGGCTTTGGATATCTTTTTATATCCTTTTCCATCTTTATAAAGTACCAATACCTTGTTATGCAGGTCTTTTGATAGTTCTTTTCTGCTCCCCATGGCTCAGTATCTAATCTGCTTAGTGCATCCACATGAGAGCTAACAAAATCATTTACTATTTATACACACACACACTAATTACAATTGAAAAAGCCACAGATGTGGGAAATTAACCTTTAATCGCCATTTTAACCTGTGTGTGTCATCTTGTGTGTCTGTACCAAGGCAAAACATTCCAGGGTAAGGAAACTTTTGATCAGGACTATTTGGGTGATTTCTATTATTATGATTTAGAAAGGAGCCAAACAACTATGTGATAATAAATGGCTTATATGATCACTATTCTTAAATAAAAGACAGTTTTTTTGGCATGATCAGACATATTTTCAATATAAATGCCACAATTTCATGATTTCTGCTAAGGTATGCAAACCTTTGATCATAACTGTATATATTTCACTAGGATTTGACCACCATACCGTAACAATGATAACCAAATTCTGCAGTAAACAAAGAAATTCTTTGTTTTTTATTTATGGTTGAGATGAGTTCAGACTTACCTGTACAGGTCCTGTAGTCTGGCATTAAAGCAAAACCTTCGATGCAACTGCATTCATAACTTCCTTGGGAGTTTGTACAATTTGTGTCACATCCACCATTGAAAATGTCACACTCATTGACATCTACAAATTTAAACAAAGAACTAATTACAAACAGAGACAATAATCAATGGATGAAAATCTTACATGTTGTGAGTATGGCAAAATATTATCTTTACTGGTGATAATGATAATAATGACAGTGCTCACAATTTTGATTTCAATCATATAGAAAATATTACAATTTATTTTTTTTACAACAGTAACACTTACCGACACATGAGAGTTTATCATCTGATGGCTTATATCCAGGTTCACAAGTACATTGGTATCTTCCAATCAGGTTTATACATCGCCCATGTCTGCACAAGTCAGTGCTGAGTTCACACTCGTTGATATCTACAAAGAAGATGAATGTTTGAATTTAGAATCATTGCATGGTAGGCACTATCACTAGCACACAAAGATCAGCCATTACAACTGCCTGAGAGTACACTGTGAATTGTTTCTTGGTCATAGCAAACAGTGAACAGGATGCTTTTAGCAACCATTCAGATTTCAGCTACTATTCTGAGTGTATAGAAGTTTTAGGTAAATTATATTTTAAATAATGTTTTATTAAATTATGAAATACTTTTATTAAACACAATTATTTTTTAATAAAGTTAGTAGCAATAAAATATTTGCCTAATATCTGTTATCAGCACCACATTTTTCTTGAAGTACCTCTAGGTGTCTGAGACAGTAAAGTTTTTTTTAACTAAAGCTGGCCATACACCAGTAGAATTTGATTCAAAAAGTTACATTTTTTTCAAACGTTTGTTAAATTTTTTAATGGTTAGTCAATTTAATGTTGGTTTTGGACAATAGAGACAATAATATTCAAAGGAACAGGATGCAGAATTTTTCTCAAACGACCGAAATTCTGCAAATTACACTTTGTATTATACCTCTTTAATTCATCTGGGATTCCATTCAAACAGCATGTCTGAATGAAAATGCAAAGGCTTTTGAAAGAAATTTATTGGCTCAATGATGGCAAGAAAGAATGTTCTCACAAATGGATTTTTCTAAAAATGTTCAAATGAAAATCTATTTATGTATGACCAACTTATCTGTGCATAAAGTGCCTGGATTGACCAGTTCAGGCAATTTAAATGTTGGACCTATCCTGCAGATTATCAATCAGATAGGCCTGGGGAAAAAAATAGGCAAAGGGCATGCATGATGAGTGAACAAGGGAGGCAAGGTGGAAAAGGGTTAACAGTAGGTTAGGGGAATGGGAAGTCACTTACCAGATTGGTGGAACTGAATATTCAAGAGGGGCTTCGGAGTGCACAGGTAGGGGTGGAGAACTGGCCATCAGTTTCGAATTGTCTGATTAAGAAAAAAACGTATCCACCCACCCGCCTTTTTTGGGATTGGTTTAAGGTTCAGATGTCAAAGCCTGGCGGCTGGGGTCTTTGAAAGCATTAAAAATAGCAGTGCTTATTTTTTGATGGGGACCCATTTTTGGTACGGAGTCCTCTGGCAAATTCCAGTGCACAGTGTGTTAGATAGGAATTTGGAACAGTGAGATCTCTTCGGCTGTATTAGATTTATATGGGCAGAAGGTGCAATGTCAAAGATTAAGAAGGATGTCAGTGTTTGTAACATACCTAAGCAAGTCGTGCCATCAGGTGTGACCTCATGCCCATCAGGACATTCACATTTAAAACTTCCCTCTGTGTTGAGACAGTTTCCACCACGACACAGGAGTGGATTTCGTTGGCATTCATCAATATCTGAAATACAGATGTTCCGGATCAGGTGATTAAAGGACAAAAATATTTTAAACTTTTGTACGAAAACAGAATATAATAAAAAATCAAAAGGTTCCTTTATGAAAGCTAACGCAATACAGAATATGTAGTAAAGGAACATTTGTCTACCTCAGAACACATCTTTATAAGATAAGCAACAGGTAATTATACAAGGCCAGGTTTGGGTTAAGCCCACATTTGCGGTTCTGCAAACTGCTGAACAAACTAGCCATATTAGGCCAGTTCACCGGCAAGACTCTCCTACTTCTAGATTGTAAATAAAACAGCCAGTGATCCAGAGTGACATGATCAACCAACTTTGTTCATGACCATATCCCCTGCACTGTGTTTACATTGCCACTGTGCTTGAGATTCTGTCATTTTCAACAGAAGTGCATCCTAGTGGCACGGAAGCATAATTGCAAGGCGGTGCCTTATGACGGTGGATTTACGTCAGTGGGTGATGTCACTGACAACGGATTTACACTGTGAGATACTGGGGTTGAATTACTAAAACTGGAGACTGCAAAATGTGGTTTAGCTGTGCATGGTAGCTAATCAGCTTCTAATTTCAGCTTGTTCAATTAAAGCGGAGTTCCATTAAAAATGTGAAAAAATAAAAGTCAGTGGCTACAAAAACTGTAGCTGCTGCCTTTTAAAAAACAGCCACTCACCTTTCCCTCAATCCCACAGTGTCCCCCCCGCAGCCACTTTCCCTGGCTGTCCTGTGTTCCCTGCATCTTCAGTGTGGGCGCCCGGCTGTGACAGCTTTACAGCCGGGTGCCTACTGTGCATGCGTGAGTAGCGCTGCTCTTTCTGAATGGCCCCGTAGTCTTTTGGACCTGTCACGTGTCCCAGAAGACTATGGGGAGGGGGAGGACAACTTCCATTTCCAATCGCCTAGGCGATCGCAGCAAAAGTGGGAGAGGGTACCTGTCAATTTCCGGTACCTTCTCCCCTCCCAGCTCCTCAAAGGTGTCAATCCTTAACAAGGAGCAATAGACCAGTCCTTAACCCCTTCCCACCGACATCACACAAATATGCGGCCTCACAGAACTTTTTCCATGGGGCCGCATATTTGCATACCTATCGTTTGCTGGGAGCATGCCACACAGCGCGCTTCCAGCACAAATAACGGACTGTCACTGAGAGCCCCAGGTCCCGTTCTAATGATCGGGACCCAGGACTTGCAATTCCGGGTCACATGATCGCTAATTGAGGGGGGGGGGGAGCTTCGCTTTAAGCTTTGACATAAAAACCTGGAAGCTGATTAGTTTCTATGCAGAGCTGCACCAAATGTTTCACTCTTCAGTTTTAGTAAATCAACCCCATAGCTTTCAAGGGTTTTTTGGCAGTAATGGACATTTTCAGAGCGAGGGTGTCTTTATTTACTTTTGACATTTTATTGGGAACCTTGTTCTCATTCTTTTGGATGGACAGCTATCTAATTTTAAAGAGGCTTCCAGATTCAATCCAGCACCCCAAACCCCCCTTCCCACAACCTCCACCAACATCCACATCCCTTTTGAGAGACAGGACACAGGGCAGAGGCTCTTGTCCTTCAACATGGGGAGAAAGTACCTTGCAAGGCTTTACTGTCTCCACCTTGCAAGTAACCTTCCTAATGTTGAATAGCATGTACCCACCCATTCCTAGCCACCCAAGCTGCAGCTGCATGCCTAGTAAAAAGTTATTCAAGGGGAACCATAAATCACTTTTTTTTTTTAAAATAGGTACTGTCAACACTGGGGGGAAAGGCCTTAAATATGGAAGGGGGAGCCTTTCTTTTGTGCAAAGCACCTTAATCCAATGTTTCGGGACAAGAACCTCTTCCCTACATGATGTCCACAAGAGGATGAGGGGGGTTTTGTGAGGGGAGGGAACATATGGAAATTTTGAAGTCCCCTTTTACAATAAGGTCTTTTTCAAGGTGTTAATTTACTTTTACAATTTTCATGCAGCTTTAGGCATTCCCCAAACATGCTCTTAAAAATATTTGTTGCCCTTTAAGCTACATAAAAAGACCCTCTCTGTGCTGAATAATATTTTAAAAAACACATTTTGTTTTGCATTGGTACATGTCTTCACATGGCAGTGACCAGCTACCCGTGTCATTTTGTTAACACCAGCTTGAAAACTGGAGTTTAAAAAGACCACAAAAAAATGACAAGATTTGCCTCCCATGGGCTTTAAGAGGGTTTGGTGCTATGGTTGTTCTTCATGTAGGGTTCACTAAACCTCCCATGAACTGAACTTTTCCAAAATAATGTGAACGTGTTTAATGCACTGAATTTGCAATGCTATTATAACTCCTTGGCACCGGCTGTACACCTACATACATACATATATGCGGCCACTCAGAGTGTGGGCCTTTACACCGAGCGGCCACATATATGTGGCCCTGTATAAACTCTTTACCATGCTGAGAGTGCACTCCCTGCATGCTCCTAGCATGGTAGCAGGTGGTGATCAGTGAGCACCTGAATCATACTTGCCATTAGGAAATTTCCAATCATGTGACCGCTGTGACAGCCAATCACAGCGGTCATATGATCCAAATGCCTGTCTCCACTCCCGGCATCTAGAAGCTCTTAATAGGCCAGGAAGGGTTAAAGTACTCTGAGGGCTGGTTCACATCAGATGCTTTCCAGTGCATTTGTAAACTGCATCCAGGACAGATCCACAATGTTTACCATCTATTCCAATGGCCCTAGTTCACACAAGAGCTTTCAACAAAAGTACAACCTGCTGCATTTTTTCATCCAGTATGTATCAAAATGCATGTAAATGCACCAGAATGCACATTGTGCTAATGAAAGTAAAGATTTTTCAAGTGTCAAAATAAAAAAAAGAAAAATGCACTGAGACGCATTTAAAAAAGGCATAAAAATCTCTGTAAATGCAAAAACACCCCCAGAACGCTGGAGAACAAGCCCTGGTGTGAACAACCCTGTATGCTTTTATTATCTTCACTAAATAATTGTGCAGAATTAAATTGCCACCTACCCATGCAGTTCTTCATCATCATGAATCCACTCTCGTATCCTTCAAAGCAGTCACATTCAAAGTCTCCTGGTGTGTTGATGCAGTTGCCTTGTCCACACACATCTGGTGATATCCTGCATTCATCAATATCTAGAAAAACCAAACAAGATTACAATCAGCAATTAGCACAGCAAGTCTCAGATCCATTGCATGATATATATCAATGTTTACCTGTGCAGTTCCTTTCTTCTGCATCCAGAGCGAAACCACTGTCACATCGACACTTAAAGCTACCAATAGTGTTTCTGCATTTTCCATACTTGCATAAACTTGGGATCATCTTACATTCATTAATATCTGTAAGAAATAGAAATATTATATTAGAAACTTTTTTTTTTTTTTATATCTATGGTCAAATTACAGCTTTGATTCACACAAGTTTACAAAAATCAGAATGTAAGACACAAGAGAGACAAATATCTAAAGTCAGTCACTATCAAGAATGTAATCTATCATATGTAAGTCAATAAATGATGGAAAATAATTTCTATTTTGACAACTTTCAATGGAAATCCAGAAAACAGCAGAAGTGTATTGTGATCTCTCGTGGACATACAGTAAGTGTGTAAGTGTGCGTGTGTGTGTGTGTGTGGGGGGGGAGGGATACACATATACCAAAACGATTACATATTGAGAGGCTTCAAATTGATCTAACTAGTAAATTGACTGCCACAGGTTCAGAATAATCATATACAGTACACTGGTACAGTTTGTGTTTCTTCCACATGCACAAAGTGACCAAACAGTGTTACCTTTGGAGAAGACTTTTCCGGGTGTTATCTCTTTAGAAGCAAATCCAGGTCCTCTTGGGCAGAGGATCTCGAATTCTGGGTTTCCTTTCAGGGGGCACTGCTCACAGTCAAATCCCCAAGCAGCCCCAACAGAACAGCAACAGGCATCCATCCGGTGGCGTCCAGCAATAGGAGCAGAGCACTCTTCATCCTCGTGCTTTAGGTAGCAAGTCTCCAAGCGGATGTCTGATGACAAAACGATACAACCACATTTCAAAAATCTTTTCCCAGTTCCCTAGTACGTGGATTATAGTGTGAACCTTTTAAATTGCTAATCAATCACACTACTGTGAAACAATATAATTTATATTTAAAGTATAAATTGCATTGCAAAATACTTTTATTACACAAATTTGTGAGTGAACTAATCAATCTAACAGAAGTTTTTGTGTTGTGATAGGAAACCAGAGCACATAGTGAAAACATCGCAAACACTAGGAGAACCTGCATACAAATGTCCTTAGTGTGAATTATAACCGCCCCAGCACTACAAGGTGCTGGGCGCTACATAGTGTTAACGAGCATTTATACTACAGCATGCAATACGCGACTGTATACGTATTGTAAATATATTTTTCTGTATGCTGTGCAGTAAAGTGGGTCTATAAATATATGTTTCAATAATTGTTGCACAAAAAGTAAAGCTTATCCTAACAGCTGATTAGTAACACATCATACTGTAATATCTGAGCAAGATATCTCCCTATATTTATCTACTTGTATTGATGTTCTAGTAATGATTAGCAAAAATTCACTGGTTATGATTCTTCTAATTATTTGTATGAGCATCTGCCTAATCTGCAGAAAATCACCCAATTCTCCAATTTAGGTTTTCAATCATGACTGAGTAATTACCTGACTCTGTGCAATTTATATACAAATATTCAGGAGAATAAATAAATTGCAATTGACTGGTTTGTCTGCTTTGTAAATTGATACTCATCATTAGCTACCAGTTAAAGCTTACAAATCCACCTACTATATTAAATGTCATCAAAATTATATTATAACTGATCTTTCATTTAACGTACAGTATGTAACCCAAGCTCCTGTATCATTCTTTGAAACATATTCACTAGGAAACCCTTGAATTTTTTTTTTAAATACTTCTGAAGGAGATGATTATTTTGTGAAAGTGTGTGATATCATACCAAGGCACGTGCGTCCTGAAGCATCAAGCGTCATCCCATTGGGGCATTCGCAAGTAAAGGATCCCATTGTGTTAACACATCGAGAGTTGATGCACAATCCCGGAAACACTTTACACTCGTCAACATCTGCATCCAAAACAAATGCATCTTTCATTTTTGAAACAATGCAAACAATAACAATTTTTCAAGAGCTCCTCAAATAAGGGTGTGGAGTAATTCCCGATAGGTGTAGAACTCATCATTTGAAAAGTAAAGGGCCAAAAAATGTTTATGTAGGAGACTATGTAAGTCACATAACAACATTCAGAAATGTATGAGTGAAGTTTGTGCCTGGATAGGCTTTAAAAGGAAAAAAAAAAAAAACTACTGGGTTCCGTTGTTTGTAGTTTTAGGTTTGGGAACCGTGTCCAAATTGTATTTTATTTGGCTTACTAAGAGTAAACCTTGGAAACTGTAAATAGAAAAAAGATTCTTTCTCTGTCTTCAGTTCTGATAGCTTTACTCTTGTAGTTATTATACACATTACAGGTTGTTCCTTTAAACATTATATGGTGGTGTTTAAGTGAACTTTTGGTGTTATTCAGAATGGCAGAGAAGATTTTTGCTTTGTTAAGACATGGATATTGGGAGCCAGACGGGACACATGATTACATAATTTTCTTTTTGGAAAGGGGCATTAACACATAGCTGACAATTCCACATGCCTGCATAGTTTTAATTAAGAGTGAGAAAAGGATGGGACCACCCTTTTTTATTAGTGTTGACATTGGCTAGCTCATACCAAGGCGTGTTAAGCTTTGTCATGGTGAACACAAAACAAGACCAAAAGCCAAAGTGTTTGGTCATAGGGAGTAAACCCTCTCAAGCACAAAACAAGGGTCTCTGGGGATCTGACATCAGGGCAAAGCTATCTTCCCCATAGGTCAGTGGAAGTATCCAGTAGACCATTAGGCCGAGTCTTCCAAGCCTTGGCCACCTGTCAGTTAATTAGGGACAAAGCATCATGACTAAAATAATATTGGACTTTCAGACCAGCACTAGGCACACTCGCTGTTATTTTAACTATTTAGCCAGTGCAACCTAAGCATTGAATATTTCTTTCATGTTAAAAAGGAGGTAACATCAGCATGTGCACACATTAGGAACATTTTAAATGACAAATGATAATCTATTAATTTTGGATTTGATATTGATACACAACTGAAAGTACAATAATCAATCATTTAAAAGAGTCCATGTTTTTAAGTAAGATCTATACTACATATAATCTTAAAGTTTGGTCAACAATCTTCCTCAGATGGAAAAATAAAGAGGAAAAAGAAGGGCTCTAATACTTTTCCTGAAGAAAAATTGCTTTTGGATTCCTGACCAGGGCACACAAAAAACATCTGCTCACATGGTATCTGCCGAAGGGAAGGATCAATGAATCAAAACTCTGATTCTCTCCTTCTACAGGGATTGCATGACCAAATATCCAGGTTTTGGTCATATGTCTGACAGTGCAGACTAGTGTTTAATCCCGGAAAGATAAGTGGTCTTTCTTAATGTTCTATTCTTTCAAGACTGTATATTTAAATATACATTTGAGCATTGGTCTGCTTCAAATTTTCTAATTTCCAAAATATATTTTTTTTCAACCAATAAGATGATACAGAAACATGCATATCTAAGAAAATGCCTAAATGGTCTTAATACATTATTGGGTGTGATGCAATAGGACAAGAGGTTGGGTTTGCTAAAGCAGGAGAATGTTCATTGAGCCCATTAAACCTGGTGTTCACATCCCCCCCCCCCCCAATCACTTGCAAGGGAAACAATTGTTTTTCAAAGTCTCTTGCACATCATTGGGCGTTTGGGATAAACACAGATCCACTGGGCTACCCCAAAGTTTATACTTAGCTAAATTTGTTTTTATATATATATTATATTTGGGGGTGGTTTATGAGTTACTACACATGACTAATGGTGTAAAAAAAAATTTAATTGAAGGAGTTATTAACTATAACTAATCTTCGCTAAAACTGAACTCCCCCTGGGGAAGGCACGTGTTCTGGAGACAAAACGCGTAGGGAAGGGGGTTGTTGAATGACATAATTACATCAGGAAGTATGTGCGGGATTGGTATACTACATTGAAAACACACTGATATATGTATTGTGGTTATACATTTACAGATGCTAGCAAAAGTTGGTGCACTGTCACACCTTTGAATGTGACGGTGATACTGTATTTGAGCAACGTATGAATAAATTTGTGTAACGGATATAAAGCATTATTTTTTTGCCTTTATTGCCTCTGTACCTGAGCTGAGGGGCAGGCTGGAAAGTGCCTTAAAGGAGCACTGTATCTTGGATGGAAGTGATTGGAGTAACATTGGAGATCTAATGAAGGGAATCCACCTCCAGTGAAGACCACTACAGACACCGGAGGGATATTAATAGACAACAGAGTGGGACACAAGCGTTATATGATTATACATAATAAGTAGGGTAATGTAATCCAGGTGAGAGCACATTTGATGGTGGTGGCACATTAATTTGCAAGTGGTTTACATGGTGGTGACAAAATAGAAGAGTACAAATCACGAATTAAAGATGTGTAGAGACTTTTTATGGACATTTTTGTTGATCATTTGTTTATAGTATATTATTGGTTTGGTATTATGATTTATAGTGTTTTATTGGTGAGGTGAAAGTGCAGTACTATTATTCAGACATAAAACTGAACTGAACTCTATCACAGTCTTGATCAAGGGAATATATTGTTTTAATTTCTAATTGAATATTATTATTATTATTATACAGTATTTATAAAGCGCCAATAGTTCGCTCAGCGCTGTACATTACAGAGGGGACAGAACATGTGACAGAACAATACCAATACAATGCAAAAACATGAGGGGATTGAATAAGATATTTTACTATATTTCCATGATTATAGTTATGTAAAAAAGTGTTGTTGAAGTGTAGATATTTGAGAGTTAAAGCTTAGATGACAGGGCCTTGGTATATGTACTTTCAAGCTCAATTTAAAATAAGATTGGCAAAAACATTTTTGTAACAGGGGGTAATGATGTATTTTATTATAAAACCGATGCTTATTCCTGACCTATCACTAAGCCCGTTTTTGTTTATAGTGTGTAAACTTATAACTTTATGTGTTGCAAGGCAGAGCTTGGAAGTTAGAGTGCCCTAAATATATATCTTTTTAGTCCTTGAGAAGGATTGTTAGTGCATAACACTATTAACACCTAGGTGTCATTAAAGTCTGATGCATCATTTTGAATACCTTCACAGGTTGTGCCTCTTGACCTTGCAAAACCTTTAGCGCAGACAGGATCTGTGGAAACAAAACATTTAATTAAGAATCTAAGAAATCATGCAATTATAGGTGAAAGAAGCTAAACACTGAGCAGGACATCCATCTGAACTTTTTAGATCTCAAAATACCTAAATAATTGGAGTTAAGCTCATGTTTTTATATCGAGCTCTAAACATTTTTTTTTTAAATTACTTACAAATCAAAAGAAAATGGCATTACACTTTTGTTTCATTCATTGAAACTTTGTCCGCTAGTATTATAAATAATTATTTTCCTCAGTGAGAAGAATTTGCCCCATACCTAATAAATGGAATCTTATTCTGCACTAACATCTTTTTTCCATTTTTTCCCCCCAGATTTTAACTTAAGGAGAAATTCCACCTGTTTGTTTATGGTGGTGAGGGCAGAGCTCCATCTTTAATTTAGGTTTGTGTTGTTAAGGCGTCTGGTGGGATAATTTTCCTCCACCCTGCTTGTTGTCATCAGCCAACATGTCTTCCATATTTTATGGAGAGTACATTACAGGGTGCTTTATTCTAAAGGGAGAAATCATTTTATCTGAATTACCCCTGTAACCCATTTTATCTGTAGTACCCCTGTTAAACAGGTGCTGTAAACCCCTATTGTATGCTTTTAGCTAACTGAAACTTTATTCAAATCCTATACTAATGCTAATTCTGCTACATGTGTTTAGTAATGTAACTAAGCCCACACGTCTTTTTATTATTTTGGTAGAGTGAAGAAAGGTTTGATTCTTTTCCAGGTCTAGTTTTCTATCAGTTTTCTATTCGAGAAATACCCCTTCACTTCTAGGAACTAATCTCCCAGACAAAACTCAAACCCTTTCCAGTCTAGCAGAGGTTATGGCTGGAACTCCAAATTTGCCGAAACACTGCACAGTTTTGTTGTGACAGGGAATAAGATTGGGTTTGATTTGAAGCCAAGTTTGGCAAATCCCAAAAGTAAGCTGTCATTGCCAAGCCAATGAGCTGCAGGCAGTGGATTCCCCACCCTGCAGCTGCATGTACACAAAGGGGTTGGTGATGCTCGTGACATCATTAACCTAATATGGCCATGTGGCCATGTGGCCATGAGCATCTCCATCCCTTTTTGTAAGTGCAGCTGCGGGCGGGAATCCCCTGCACACAGCTCATTGGCTTGGCAATAGCAGGTTACTTCTGGGATTTGCAAAACTTGGGTTTGGACAAAATTCAAGCTCATCATTAGTTGTGACATGAAATCCGTAGTGTGTGCTGCTGAAAAATGATTGCCGGCCCCTCTTGTCTATGATAATGATCAGCTGTAAAAACAAATCAGCGAAATGTGATAAGTGCTTGTTGCAATTGTTATACTTTTATACTAAAAATGTAATTCTTGTATCCTGGAAGGATACCTCACATTTGTCGATAGACACCTGGAAAGCCATGGTCAATGGAAACCTCCCATTGTATAAGCTAACTTTTTGATTTCAGGAAGAAGCCTCAAAACTTTGAGAAAGTGTGGAGCTGCTGGCTAAATAGTCCTAGACTACTGCCTCTGTAGAGTCGGGAATGTGATTATACCAATGTTACTTGTGTGACTCCTGTGAACTATTGGTTGTTTCCAGTTGCACCACATTTATATTGCTGTTACTGTTGCCTTGTGTATCCTTGATCATTTGTAAGAGCCATTAGGTGTTTTTTCTTCTTTTGTGCCTTTTTTCCTTTTGTTTTCTTTTTTGGATGTCTTCGTGTTGACCCTTTGGAACTTTCATGTAAAAAAAATCTGCGACCTGAGTGTTAGGCGGCTGTATTGGCCGACAACATGGTGACTATAAAATTAGTCAAAAAAGAGAAAAACAGTCAAAAGTCAGGCGATAAGAGCATAGAAGTACCTGGTTCACAAGGTAGACAAGGACTTCCCCAGGCGGCGCCTAATGTAGAACAGCACTGTGACCGTAAAGTTGCCCCATTGATGTTGACTTCACATCTTCCATTCACTATATCTTTCCAGCATGTGCCTTTAACAGTTTCTGTGTAATACAACAATTTAAAAAAATCAATGTTTCACATTTTACATAAGGTCAACCTTTTAATATCATTCAATAAATTAGTGTGTGAAAAATAAAAATTAATGTAAACCCTAAATCTATTTTTCAGTTTATTTTGGCATCATACCTTGCTATTTTCTTGAACAAATCATTTTTATAAATCTGTTTTTTACCTGAACATCCTGCCAGTAATGGCACTTCAAGATGCTGACTGACAATGTTAATGCGTTAAAATTAGAAGCAGCTTTGCCAATCATCCATGCACATTCCTCTATTTTGCCTACTTATGTGGTCAGAAGGAGACATAAGCAGACCTGATAGGAAGCCCAGCATCCCAAACAAAGAAGCATGCACTGCAGGCTGTCAAAGGCATTGCTAAATGTGAAGCAGTAGCTTAGCACTGTCAGCCTTAAACAGGAAATGAGGCTACTGGCAGGATCTCCAAATTAAAAACTTTGCAACAGATTTACAAAATAATTATTTGCTTGAGAATGATGCCAAACATACAGAAAATTAAATGTAGGACTTGTTTATACTTACAGTTGGAAGGGCATTAAAAATGCATGGCTGAGCAGTGTTTTAGCACTCTCAACTGTGTTCACATGCTGCAGTCACAATGCTTCATGACTTATTCAAGTGAATTGGGAAGTGCTGCAAATGCCCTGCAACCATGTGCATTGCACATGGTTGTAGTGCATTGGTGCAGCAATCATGTGGTTAAAGCAGGTGGTGATGAGGAGTCACATCACCTCCTCACCACCTGTTAAGTGCCTCTGAAAAGCTAATTAAATGTGGATTTCTTTTCAGAGGACCAGTAGTTTAGACACCAGTCTAAACTTAGCATGCAACTGACCATATATGGATCGAACTTTGATCAGTTCCACAGGGGCTGGCCATATTTCAATCAATTTTTTTGTCGTTCCTACTTGACAGAAGTTAATCTAACAACGACTTCTGTCAAACAAGAAGTTTTGGAAAATTTTCATTTTGATCAGCGACTGCACTGCTGATCAGTGTATTATGACATAGGAGGAGTCCCCGATACCAGAATACAATAGAACAGAAGGGAGAATTTCTCCATCCACCATGCTTGTTTGGATGGGGAAATTAATTTGATTATTTTTGAATAGCCCACTGGCTTATTGAAGAAAAAACAACCCATCTATGGGCAGCCTTAGGGCTTACATACACTTTAAATATTTGTCACGTTTTGAACATACAAGACTTCTACAAAATCCTATAATGTTATTTTCACTAGTCACAGAATCTCTAATTACCAATGCAGATTGTCTTGGTTGTATCCAATGTACTTCCAGGAGGGCATTCACACAAAAAGGATCCTGGAATATTTTTGCATGCGCCATTGATACAGGGGTTGGACTCACACTCATCAATATCTGAAAAGAAAAATAGACATAGACTCTGTTTTATTTCATTTAAATATTGACCACAAATAACTTATCTACAGTACAACACTAATGTACAAATAAAAGCTCCTGTATGACAGTCCAAACAAGTACCAAATCCAGTTACTATGTGATGCACAAGCCTCATAAAATAAGTAAAAAATCCTATCTTATCCACACACTAACCCTCCCAGACACTGCAGCTTCCAGTGGGGGGATTTCAGTAACAGAGGCACTGCTGCCAATCCTATAAACAGTGAGTAGTACAAGGTTCGGCCCGGAGCTTATTAACAAACTAAAGGCTTATGACTTAGCAGTGACAGTGCTGATAGCCATGCCTCCTGCAACACTTTCTCCATGTGACAACTGCTCCTGTTCCCGACAGGTACATACGTATTCACCTTGACCTTTCATGCTTTGAGAAGGGTGTATGGCCAATAGAAACACCATACAAATCCAATGTTTGAGGAGGGTGCATGGCCAATAGAAACACCATACAAATCCAAAGTAGAAGAAATGACCGGTAGTCCAAAATGTGTCCATAAGTCCAGGTTATGGTGTTGTCCCCAGCACATTACCCCTGCCTCTTCCCTACTGACCCTCATCACCCTCCCTTTCCCCTCCTTGTTCTTTCCTTCTCCTCTGTACATTATCTTTCTATCCCCTACATGAGTGTTGGCATACATGCTGGTGTTCTAACTCTTGACTCTTACATATTCATACACGCTTGATTTGTTTATTATTGTTTTCTTGTAAAACTCGAGACATCTCATGTTCTGACGGGTTAAAAAAGCACTTCCTACATTAGGCTTGTCTTGTTACAATCAGATGATGTTTCTTTATGCTCATGCAAATGTTTAAGCTTATATGTTTTTATTGATTGAAGCTTTAATATCTGTAACCTTTGTCTTGAATGAACATGACATGTCTGACAAATAAAGAATATCAAAAATGACAGATCTCAAGTCTTTACTGGACAAGTCTTACAGCTGAACAGGACAACATACCTTGTGGAGAAAGTGTATAACAATCAGCGATTCGGAGACAGTGTGGTCTGCAAATAATGTGCATGCAGACCAAACACACACACATATATATATATATATATATATATATATATATATATATATATAAACCCAACAATAAATTAATCTGTCACAAGCACTGACAATTTTGGTGTGGAGGCGAAGGAATTTCTTTATGAATTCTAGTGAATATATTTACTGAATATTGACTTTAAATTTATGAAGGTTAAAATGACTATTCCTAATTTTTTTCTACTGGAAACAAGTAGTTACCTATAGCTTCCCATTTTTTTATAAAGCAGGTGCAATTAGCCACTCTTTTTCTGCAATACCCAGCATACCCAACCTATTTTACTGATAATTTTGTCAATTTATATATAGGAAAGTACCCCCCCCCCATATGGGTGAATGTATGTGGGTTTTTTTTGTTTGTTTTTTTTTTTTGTTTTTTTGTACTGTTATCTTATTTAGAAATTTTACCATCTTTAGTGGTTTTATTCATCACATATGCATAAAAATGCAACATTTTGCCATACACTAAATTATTTTGTTGATTTGTTAGTATAGACATGATTTATTATTTGATATGCTTAGAAAAAAGTGTCAGGTTATCAGTGAATGTTAAGAAATCTGAAATTACATCTTAATCTGAGTTACAAAACTTTGCAAAAGGAATGAGAGGATGTTTAAGATTACCAGCCCACAAACAATAGTCATTAACAATCTTGTAATAGTGGGCATATTTTCTAATGTAGGAAATTGAGTTACCTTCACAAGTTTTGAGATCAGGTTTATAGACATATCCTTTAGGGCAGGTGCAGGTAAAACTTCCTGGAGTGTTCCGACATTGTCCGTTGTCACATAGCAGTCTGTTTATTGCACATTCATCAATGTCTGAAAAAAGAAATCAGGACAAGGGACAGACAGTTTAGAGAATATAGCATTTAGTCACCTTACTTCTTTGCACTATGACAACCCATATGCTTTGATTCATCCCAATTTATTCCATTGAAAACAGAGTAGGATATCCATATTATAATATGTATCTGTATAACCATTTGACATAAATACATGACCTAATACCAAGGTACTGCTACATTTCTGCATATAATGCTTGGGAAACAGCAACCCAAATGATTCCAGAAAATTGAGTTTTTGTTTTTGTATAATAGTGATATCTAAATGAATGGGAAATCACCTGCTTGGAAATCCTCTACAGTAGTAACCTGGTGACAGCTGTTCCTAAAGCAACTCCCATGCTTTCTTTAAATACAGTTCTATAATAGAGATTTTACCTGATGGTGGAAGTTAGTACTGTATTGTAAGAAAAAGCAATGCTTCTGTATTGGAAACACTTCAGATTAAATGGCCAGATTTAAGTCCACCAAAGACCACAAGTAACATCAGGACACTGGTCACTATACTATGTACTTCTCTATTAGAATACCTCCATATTATTCGCTGGAGGGGTCCCAGTTAAATTTGAGAATTATGTTTTTCTTTTTTTATGCATCAATATGACCAAATGCTATATTCAAATATACAGACCTACATTCCTAAATACTGGTAATCCTCTAATTGCTTCTATCTACATAACTGTATCACTAGCAAAGGTCTATGGGAAAACTCTAGACTCATGAGGAGAACATAAGATGGTTGGAACTGGAAGTGTGGCAGTCATTCTTAAGGATTCCTCCAGAGGTTTCTAGAGGTTCCTTAAGCTGTGGCTGATTAACATCCCATTTGATGGTGCATTCCAGGTTCATTACCACTTTGTAGAGTCAGCAGCAAAATACCAAAGAATCCAAAAAGAATCACTGTAAGGGGGCATTTTTCCTACCGATCACTAATGCAGGGGACATACTTCCATATTTCATTCTACCAGTGTCCTTGACTAATTTTTTGTTGGGGTTCCCTGAGACATGAAAATAATTGCAAGGGCTCCTTTGGGGTAAAAAGGTTGAGAAAGGGTGAGTAAGAGTCTTCAGATAAGTGCAACAATATTATAGGGGACACATAGAAAAGACATATATCCTAAATCTGGTTTAACCCCTTTTCTGCTCATCTTTATGGTCCTATGGTAGGGATTACCTGAAGTTGTGATTAAAATGATGCAACCATAATCTGTGATAAGTAACTCCCAAATAAAGCCCCAATTGATTAGCTGTTACTGGTTTTACTATTATGAAAACAGCATTCATAATATCAAGAGGTATCTAAGAGACAATGAGGACCCTCATCTTATTTTGCTCTGAGTGAGAGATTTAGTTATTTGCTCAGTATCCTTTATCCACCCCCAGCTACATCACCAAACTCATCTGCAGATATCGCCCAAACTGTCCTCTCTGATTCTCTCAAGACCTCCTGCTCTCCAGTTCCCTTTCTACTTCCTCCCACACTCCCCTGCAGGACTTCTTCAGAGCCTTTCCCATCCTCTGGAAATCCCTGCCCCAGTATGTACGGTCAGCTCCTACCCTGTCTGCCTGTAGGCGATCCTTCAAAACTGATTTATTCAGGGAACCCTACATCACCTTCACCTAAGAACTGTACTTGAGTCCATAAGATCATCCCCTGCAGCTATTACCTTTTGTACCACTCTCCCCCCACCCTTTAGATTGTAAGCTGCATGGCCAGGGCCCTCCTATTCCTTCTGTATCGAACTGTATTGTAATTGTACTGTCCCTCTTTATACTGTAAAGCGCTGCGAAAACTGTTGGTGCTATATAAATCCTTTATAATTATACTTCTTTTAATAAAAAACGAGACATATGTGATTAAATCAGCACAAAATTGGATTCTCCCTACACAGCAACATCTCTCTCAGTTTTGGCTTAATATAATTAATTTTAGTTTTTAATGTAATCATTATGTAGTATTATTTAATAATTTGTTATCATTTTTTTTATTTAATCATTTGTTTATATCTGGCTATAGGTACAACAACAATAGTTGAGGAATGTATCCACCATATGCAAAGGAAAACAATAAAGATTTCATACCATTACAACTCTTCCCAGTAGTGTCCACCTCGTATCCAGAATTACAAACACATTTGTAGGTTCCACGAAGATTTTCACAAATTCCATTAGGACAGATATCAGGATCCAGAGCACATTCATTAATATCTGAAAACAACATACTCAATAAACTTAATCATGCCGTTTTGTTGGAGTCATACAAGGTGCTTACATTTCCTGTTGCATGCAAGTGAGAGACAAACTTAGCATCTGTAATAACAGTGTACAAAGTACATTAAATACAAGATTAAAATGTCTATTTCAACTTTGCAGCCATCTAAGCTGACAACCCACCAAGATATTACTTCTGGCAAGGCTCCGGCATCCAGGAATGCTATTTATATACAATATATAATTACATTGTTTTGTACTGGCTGGATTTTTAATTGGCCCTTTTTAATCGCTTGCTTATGGGCTGTGGAAAAATAGTTTGTTTACAGGAACTAAACAGTGACTGGGAAAAATGAGGAAGCCAGAAAACAAAAATGGATCCAATTAGCAAAAGGTATCTTATGTTTTTTTAAAAAAAAAATGTCTTTAAGTGTATGTAAACATTAACACTGCAATTCACTTATTTGCTCTCTTTTGGTCTTCTAAATATAAAGAGACTGAGTTAACTTGTGACTTCCCTTGCAAATCTGAAACAGTTTTATCAGCCCTGACCAGGTTACCCATGTGAACTACAGAATACCACATCCCTATGTTATGGAGATGTTAGTCCAAATTGGGAACCTGGGGTGACAACACAGCATCTCCACAAATACTCCACCTATCAGGGCTCAAAATTAAGTACACGAGTGCACCCATAGCCAGGGGCACTTGGCGGGGGACCCCAAAAGAGGAGAATCAAAACTTCTATGCAAAACCATCACACAGAGCAGGTGAGTATAACAGTAAGTGATAGGAAATCCCTCCAAAGTGAGGGAATCCCTAGTTGTCACCAGGTTCACCATAACTAGTGTCATCATTGGAAAATTCCCCCTCTATTCCTTTGCTGGGGACAACGCATAATTTCGGATTTTCTTTCACTCTCAATGGTAATGAGCATTTACTTCTGTTTAACCACATTTATTTTGTAATTCCTGGAGTTGGGATTTAAGTTTAGGTGTTTGGCAAAGGTTACATGGTCTAGCATTTTTTTGCTGACTGATAGCTGAAAAGAGTAGGAGATTTGAGCGGAGAGTGAAAACATTTTACTTTTGACTGCTGGTGATTGCTGGTGCTTGTAGTTGTTTTATTTTCTTCTTTGGGTCTTGCTAAAAGCTTTTACTTTTTTAAATCACTTTTTCTGTTACTTTTTAAATAGCATTTTTTTTCTTCCTTTCCTTGCCTTCCTTCAGTCTGCTAATTTAGGGGAGGGGTTCATTGGTCACAGGTGCTACAGGTTCTATACAAATTGCTGTAGAGTTCACTCTGAACTTGCTCATTCTTGAGCTTGCTTGCAATTTGCTTGCTGGACCTTTGACTAAGTGGACATTTGATAAGTGGAGTTAAAAAACCGGAGTTCAAAACAGGAGTCTTCTGACCTGTAAGTGACAATTGATATTTCCTATTAATATTGTAACTGGGATATGAGTGCTAGCAGGGTTTGAAGGTTTTGTTCAGTGCACAGTTTGCCGCATGTATACAACAGTGGAGCAACAGCTCCAAGATGGATACCGTTGCGACAGATGTGAGCGGGTTGCCCTTCTGGAAACTCGAGTTAAAGATCTGCAGGAGCAAGTTGCACCACTGGGCAGAACCGACAACCTTGAAAGGGGTCTTCTGCTCCCTGAGAAGGTAGCTAATGGGATTGGATTTGAAGGGGCTAATCAGGATTATCAGGTAGGAAGATGGGTTACTGTAACGAGAGGGATTGGTAGGGGCTCACAGAACAGGAAGGCTGCCCCTGGGTTTGTGCACCCAAGCAGATTTGCCAAGTTGGATGAGAAGATGTGGGGGTGGCAAGCTCAGGGGTGGCAGCCCTGGATGTCACTGCTATTCCTAACAGCCAGGAGGGCAGACCATCTGAGAGGGGTGGTGAGGGTAGTGCAGGAAGGCCTAGACAGTTAGTGGTAGTAGGGGATTCTATAATCAGAAGGACTGATAGAATAATTTGTTGCCAGTATCTCCTCAACAGAATGGTTTGCTGTCTCCCTGATGTCAGGGTTCGGCATGTGGTGGACCGGGTTGATAAATTACTGGGAGGGGCTGGGCATGATCCAGCTGTCTTGGTCCATGTTGGAACCCACAACAGAATACATGGAAGGTGGAGGCTCCTTCAAAATCAATTTAAAGAACTAGGCTGCAATTTGAAGGGAAGGACCTCCAAGGTGATATTCTCTGAACTATTACCTGTGCCATGCGCAACTCAGGAAAGACAGGGGGAGATTACAACTCAATGCATGGCTAAAGATCTGGTGTAAGAGGGAAGGATTTGGGTTTCTAGAGCACTGGGCTGACTTTTCATTGGGGTGCAAACTATATGCTAGAGATGGTTTGCACCTAAATGGAAGGGGGTCTGCTGTGCTGGGGGAGAGGTTTATGGGAAGGCTGGAGGAGTATTTAAACTAGGATCAAGGGGGGGAGGGATAATTAGATTATAACAGGGTAGACAGATCAGACAGGGGTCAGTACTTACTGGTGGGTAGAATGGGGAAAGATGGGGGGAGGGTTATGGCAGATGATAAGAAGGCTCCCATGTTACAAACAACCAGTGGAATTGGTACTATTTGTATGAAAATAAAAAATATGCAAAATACATGCACACAAGGTATCACTGAATAAAAGTGTTTCTTCACCAATGCCAAGCAAAATAGGTGAGTTGGAAGCTTTGGTGCATGAACAGAACTATGATTTAATTGGTATTGCTGAATCTTGGCTTCATTCTTCACATGACTGGGCCATTAATATTCCTGGCTATGTTCTCTTTCAGAGAGACAGAGCAAATAGAAAAGGTGGTGGTGTCTGTCTCTATGTGAGAAGTGAACTCAGAGCGAGTGTGAAAGAGGATCTAATTGATGGAGAGTGTGATGAGGCTGAAGTATTATGGGTGGAACTGCACATGGGGGTGCGTACTACAAAGGTAATCATTGGAGTTTGTTATAGGCCTCCCAGCGTTAATAAGGAGGTGGAGACTCAGCTCCTTGCACAGATCAAAAGGGCTGAAAGGGCTGGGACAGTGATAATAATGGGGGATTGACTGGAGTAATATTACTGCAGGAACAGTTAAAGGGCAAAAATTTTTAAACCTACTACAGGAAAATTTTATGGTACAGTTCATAGAGGCCCCTACTAAGAGTGATGCTCTGCTGGACCTGGTAATCTCAAACCATGCAGAGCTTATTACAAATGTCCATATAAAAGAACATCTTGGTAGCAGTGACCATAACATGATTTCATTTATTGTTAGCTGTAAACAGCAAGCACATACGGGAAAAATAACAACGCTCAATTTTAAGAGAGATAATTTTCCAAGGCTAAGAGCTGCTCTCTAAGACTTAGACTGGGAGGGAATATTGGCATCGATGAACACAACACAGAAATGGGAGTTCTTCAAAAAGACTATGTGACCACACTGCAAAATATATTCCCATGGGCAAAAAGTTTAAAAGGCTAAAAATCAAACCTATGTGGCTTCCGGCCAAAGTTAAAAAAGCTATAGATAATAAGAAAATAACTTTTATTAAAAATAAAAATGAAAGAACGCTATCATCGTTTAAACATTACAAAGAATATAACAGAATATGCAAAAAGGAAATAAAGGTCGCAAAAATTGAAAACGAGCGCCAGATTGCAAAGGATAGCAGGACCAACCCCAAAAAATTCTTCAAATATATCAATAGTAAAAAGGTCTGGTCCGAACATGTAGGCCCTTTACAAAATAATCTAGAGTGGGTGACTGGGACAAAGAGAAGGCAAATTTATTAAATACCTTCTTCAGCTCTGTGTATACAAAGGAGTATGGGGGAGCTCTTGTCCATAATGGGCATGGTATTAACACAGCTCCAGATGATCCACATCGGCTCACAATTGATATGATCAATATGTCAATATTTAGACAGAATAAAGGTGAATAAAGCACCTGGACCGGATGGCATACACCCACGGGTCCTTAAAGAATTGAGCTCTGTCATTTCAAAGCCAATGTTTTTAATTTTTAGGGACTCTTTAATGACTGTCATAGTACCACTGGATTGGCGTAAGGCTAATGTGGTGCCAATATTTAAAAAGGGGGCAAAATCTTTACCAAGTAATTATAGACCTGTTAGTTTAACATCTATAGTTGGGAAGATACTGGAGAGTACCTTTACAACCACTTTAAGCATTAGTATTGAGTTACCTGTTAGGGTCATCTTAAATATTGGAGCTTTCACATGATTAACTGAGATGTCTGCACTGGATATGGCCCTCCAGTGTTTTCAGACCACACTATCCTACAGAAAGCTACATTTTTACACATTTTAGTAATTGAATATATGAAATGTTATGTCTGAAAACAAATGCAATAATTTCCTGTCCAGTACAAAACAAACACTTAGCGGTAACCATAACACATCATTTCCCTTCCCCTTACACTCAGGTACTTTTCCCCTCTTGATTATACAAGGGTTCAAGGTATACTTTAGTATTTCAGAATATTAGTCAGACATACCGGTTCCTGTAGATGTTATTCCTGGGCCACTGCTGCACAGTGCTTGATATTCATCTGAAAACACAGGAAATGCCATTGCAGTTTGTTGTTAAGAAAACCAACAATAGAACAGTGTATCTAAAAAATGCTTAAAACTAAAATGAGCAAGTGGGGTATTTTAAAAAGAACACAAACATTTTTTTTCATCCAGCGTGCTGCAAATGTATCAACATATTCAGTCATTAAAATGCACTTCTTATTTCACATTATCGATAGAAAATAATTGCAAGGATTCAACAACAAGCACCTTTATTTTCAAAAAAGTGAGTTATGTTTAGCTGAGTGCAATGACATTTAAACATTCTAGTCACATGACTAAAATAAAGATCTTTATACTTGTAGTTAACCATAATAACATGATAATTGTAGATGGCAAATATGAGCTGAAAATAATGAAAGAGGTTTTGGAGCACACTGGAATTTATTTACTAAAGCTGGTTCACTCAGAATATCATGCATTTCTGCATAGAAACCAATCAGCTTACAGGTTTTATTGCTAAAGTTTAATTGAACAAGCTGAGGTTAGAAGCTGATTGGCTACCATGCACAGGAGCATAGGATTCTGAATGAACTAGCTTTAGTAAATAAACCCCACTGTGAGAATTTAACCAAGTGCTAGACACATTGGGCAGCATAATTATTTGGAGGAGGGGACAAAATCAAGTTTTCTTTTCTTTTTCAATGTGTATATAGTTGTAAACTGCTGTCTGATATTTATTTTTTACTATTTGGATACAATATTTGTTTTACAAAAAATTTACTACAGACAAAGGATTCCCAGAGAACTAAGCACTAAGAAATAGTACCATAGTAATTGCCTGATGTAGGACAAAATTATAATGTTGTTTTAACACATGCATTCCAGCACACTAAAACACGTGTCTTAGTTTCCCATAATAAAGATAGTGTCTGTTCCCATCTCAGTGCTGCATTACATCTTGTTTTGAAAAATACAACGTGTTTGTGTTTTTTCTGGGTTTTAGTGTGTTGGGAATGCCAAGAAAATCAACTGCATGTTATATGTATTTTGATGCACTGGCAAAAGGTATTACCAAAGCCTTGGTGGCTGTTAATTCTATCTACTCCAAAGTCTAAATTCAAAAGCAACTTGAAAAGTGCATCAACATGCATTAAACCAAACATAAACACACAAAAGAAAAGGCACATTGACACCTGCTTAACACAACAAAAAGAGCAGGTTTATACACCTACTTAGACCTAAATATGCCCTTAAGGTTCACTTTTTCTGACTGATAGAGTAAATACCTGCTCACTCATTGACTTCTGTGTGTAATTTGCAGCTTGAGCTATTGAGCTTTGTAAAAATCAGGCTTTTTAAAAAAGTGGTAAGGAGAGAGAGGAAAACGTGACAATGAGCCTTAGACTTCACCTGTTGCCTTAAGAGAAGACTACAGAATATTTAAGAGCTATAATTTATATTTATCCAACAAAATTACATGAAAAACAATACTATATATATAATGAAGTGTGATTTTGTATCTTCATATCTATATTGTTCAGAGAGGGCATACATGTATATGTACTGAAAAGAAACTTAATGTTGGAGATGCCTGAAAAACAATTTATATGCTTGATATGCTATTAGTATTCAGCTACTATGCAGTTCATACACTCACTGGCCACTCTATTAGGTACACCTTGCTATTGCCAAGAAAATATTTCCAACACCATTACACCACCACCACCAGCCTGAGCCATTGATACAAGGCAGGATGGATCCATGTTTTCATGTTGTTTACCCCAAGTTGTGACCCTACCATCTAAATGTCGCAGCAACCAGTCTGCCCATTCTCCTCTGACGTCAGCAAGGCATTTTTGTCCACACAACTGCCACTCACTGGATAATTTATCTTTTTCAGACTTTCTCTGTAAACCCTAGAGATGGTTGTGTGTGAAAATCCCAGTACATCAGTAGTTTTTTCAATACTCAGACCAGCCCAACTGGCGCCAACAACCATGCCACGTTCAAAGTCACGTAAATCCCCTTTCTTCCCCATTGTGATGCTCAGTTTGAACTTCAGAAAGTCGTCTTCACCATGTCTACAACCTAAATGCACTGAGTTGCTGCCATGTAATTGGCTGATTAGCAATTTGTGTTACCAAGTAATTGAACAGGTGTACCTAATAAAGTGGTCTGTGAGTGTATACTGTGGTTACATACAGGCAGCAGCTCTTACCTGAAGTCTTGGCAGGACAGGGTTTACATGGTTCACCAAATGCAAATTCGGTGCTGGCACAGCAGCACTCTGACTTAGTCACTGCTCCTTGTAGTGGTCTGACGCACTGACCTCTCTTGTAACCTCCATAGCAAGTGCTCCTCATGTGAGTATCTGCAACAGAAAGCATGCATTAGAATGAGATGGCATGATCTACTGACTAATATATGACCATTTTAATCCTAATAAAAATCTGAAATTTAAGGTGTATTATGTTCTTGTGTTGTGGACGTCCTTCGTTGATAAGGTTGACACACTCCTAATACTGTGACATAGTACTTCTACCACTAAAACAGCATTGTGCTGGATTTGTATAAAGGTACAGTATAATGGAACGAATACAAAAATGGGGGAGATCTGTGGTAAGCATAAATACCACAAAAAATACTGTAGAGCTTTGAATGTAGTCAACTGTTTTACTCAAAAAGTATAACAAAAGCAAAACTGGATTTACATATGCACACACACAAAGGATCATGCAGCAGCTGGCACAGGAGATTCCATACACTGGCACCTGGAATGTATGCTCAAATGATAAATACCTGGATATATGCAGCCATTTTTCATTTTTGCACCAACCGTACGGCATATGTTGAATCCCCAGCAAGCTTGTAACATTAGTTTAATATTAATTTGTTTTCATTGTCAGATAATATGTAGATACTCACAAGCCTTAGTGCACTTCATCGCAATAAAACATTTTACTTCATTATTATCAATAGGGCATTATTAGGAGGCAAAAAAAGCATTATTCAGATGTTTGCAGCACACAACCAACCAGGGCAGCTTTTTACGAATTAAACATCACAGTACGATCAGCTAGACCAGTGGTCTCCAAACTGCAGCCCACAGGGCCTTTATCCAGCCCTTTATCCACTATTCCTCCCACTGACACCAAAAATGGGGCACTATTCCTCCTACTGACACCAGCAATGAGGCACTATTCTTTTCACTGACACCAACAATGGGGTACTAATCCTCCCACTGGCAACAACGATGGAGCACTATCCCTCCCACCATTACCAAAACCAATGATGGGGTACTAATCTTCCTACTGACTACAGGTGCTATGTATTTTTTTTTCTACTGCCACTGACCACAAAGCCTGAGGCATTGTTTACTGCCACCGACTTGCTATTCTCACTGGCCACAGTCTGGCCCCCCTAAGATGTGAAGGACAGTAAAATGGCCCTTTGTTTATAAAGTTTGGAGACCCCTGAGCTCCTGAGCTAGACAGAATCAGAGATCAGATATATATATATATATATATATATATATATAGAGAGAGAGAGAGAGGAGAGAGAGAGAGAGAGAGAGAGATACTGTATATTATACAATTATCACAACTGTTAAGATACATGAAAGCTATGCGCCCTAGTACATTCTCTATATTTGTCATGTTATATAGAAAGAATTTATATACAGTTATGTCAAATTTTTACTTACCTACACACACTCGACCATCAAGTCCAACTGCTAGACCAGGGAAGCATTCACATCTAAAGGAGCCATCTGTATTTACGCAACGTCCATTCATGCAGATGCCAGGTGTCTCACACTCATCGATATCTGTAGTGGCAAGAAGACAGGGCAATCAAATTCTAGCTGTTAAGAGATTGGCAATGACTAGTAAAGTGATGGTCTATATTAAATATAGCACATTGGCTATATTTTTAAAGGCATATTAATGGTAACAAATAAATATTTCCATCTTTTATATCATTACCTTTTAATGTGTTCAAATTATTTTAAGCAAATATTTTTAGTTTTTGACTGTGTTGCTTGATGGACACCAAAATGTACTAAAGTAAAAACTTTTAGAACTTTGAGGAAAAATCCTTATTTCAGATACTGTTGGAAGAATTAGAAATTTTACCAAAGTGCCACTAGTGATCCACATACACACTGTGGGTGGTGAATTCAGGAATGAAAGGTAAGAAGAAGGCAGACAACAGAAGCCAACCGTCCTTTCACCCATCATCATTTTCTCTTCCGCCAGCCATCACCATTGATAGTGCACTGTCCTAGTAACACCTGCCAAGCACTAGAAGGAGCAATCTGATTTTAGCCACATATGAAAAGTGTCAGTGTTTGATGGAGTACAGTGACCATTTTGAAAAGAATATACAGATTAGATGCTGGCCAATTAGTGGACGGCATGGCAACCATCTATATTGGTATGGCAATCAAAGGCATGTGCACCTGAGACCTCAGAGAACACGTAGCATTTACTGATAAAAGATTAATTTACATTATAGCATTGTAAGAGGGTGGTCTGTGAATCTTACAAAAAAAAAAAAGGTCCTGCTTTAAATGGTGAACAGCACCAGCTGGCACGAACAGACTACTGAAAACATTGGATATTCTCATATCCGTTTATTTTGTTTGCACTAAAAAATACAACAAGCATTGACTAAGATCTGCTCTTAATAAGACTGCTATACTGGGAATTAATTATCTAATTAATATTAATTACTATTTATTTTAGTAACATTTATTGCATGAATTAAAGTCCAAACTTACATATAATAGTACAGTATAATTTTCTTACTTGAAAGTCCACCGTTCTTGTATGCACGGCCAGTCCCTGAGCCACTGCTCCCTCCTCCAGTTTGCAGGTGTCTCCTGCCTAGATGGCTGCAAAGGAGACACCCATGTGTTCGTGTATGTGGCTAGGCTATAAGAGGTTGATTTTTCCCTGGTTCACATATATGCGGCTGTGCGGGCCGCATTTTGTGCAGGCACGAGAGCCCATTCATTTGAATGGACTCCCTTGCCCCGTGAAACGCAAGGAAGAAGTCCCTGCACTTCTTCTGAAAACGCAACCCGCACGAGAACTTCGGTTCCCAGTACAGTTGCGTTTTCCAGTGTGGGCGTCATGCCATTAGAACTAATGGCACCCGCCTGCGGATCCCCATTGCTCTGTGCAGGTGGAGCAGCTGCACAGATTTTCGTGCGGATCCGCAGCCGCACCACCCGCACATATGTGAACCTAGCCTTACTAAAGGCCAACATACTGTGCACTTTGCAAGTACAGTTACTCCAGAGCTGGGAAAATGAGGTAAAGCTTCACTTTACAGAAACTACTCAATCACATGCAAGGAATTTTTTAAAAAACTGTATTTTTGCTTGCACATGGTTGGATGGAAGTTTGCAGAGCTTCCCCTCATTTGCTAAGCTCTGGAGCAACAGTGCTTGCAAAGTGCATAGTCTATTTGCCTTTAGTAAATGAACCCCTATGCATCCACTGAAACACACAACACCTATTAGGCCACACCTCTGCTCCTTCCTCCCAGATCCTGACAGACAGCTGCAGGAGCCAATCACTCCCCAACTCTCACCTCCATTCTATAGCTATGAATTTAATGGTAACAGCATGAATTGTGGAGGACCCAGAAGTACGTGTTTGGGGATGGGGGGCTGCTGACTGTAAAGGTACTGTTATAGTAATATTAAACCCTTTGTTTTTAAGCACTTACAACAACTGATTAAATCACTTTCTAAGTATGCAGCTTCTTTATCTTTTAACCACTTGATCTCCAGAAGATTTACCCCCCTTCCTGACCAGGCCATTTTTTGCAATACGGCGCTGTGTTACTTTAACTGACAACTGCGCGGTTATGCAACCTTGTACATAAATAAATTTATGTAATTTTTTTTCCCACATAGAGCTTTTTGATATTTGATCACTTCTGGGTTTTATATGTTTTGCGCTATGAATGAAAAAACACCGACATTTAAAAAAAAACTATATTTTTTTCATTTCTGCTATAAAACATATCCAATAAAAAAATTATAAAATCAAATTTCTTCATAAACTTAGGCCAAAATGTATTCTGCTACATATTTTTGGTAAAAAATTCCCATTAAGCGTGTATTGATTGGTTTGCACAAAAGTACTAGCGTCTACAAATGGCGATATATATACTGGAATTTTTTTTTTATACTAGTAATGGTGGTGATCAGAGACTTCTCATGGGACTGTGATATTGTGGTGGACAGTCTGACACTAACTGGCACTTGGTGGGAACCAGTGACACTAAAACAGTGATCAGTGCTAAAAATATACACTGTCATTGTATTAAGGACTCTGGCTAGGAAGGGTTAAACATCTAGGGTGATCAAAGGGTTAATTGTGTGACTAGCCAGTGCTTTTGTGTACAGTGCGCTGCTTTTACTAGGCAATCTACTAGATTTTATTCCCTGGATAAAATCTAGCAGATCACCGTTGACATAACACAGCTCTGCCTTGTTTATTTAGGCAGAGCTGTGTTCTCTCAGTCTCGGCGATCAACAGGTGTCGGCGCTCATCCATTGGCTGACACCTGTTGATCTGCTTCTGCTGTGTTTAAGCACAGTAGAAGTGGCGCTCTGGCGGCAGGAGTGTGCCACCTAGTGGTGGAAGTGCAAAATCACATTTATATATGTGATTTTGCACAGAACATCTGCCCTGTAGCAGCAAGTCTGCTATAGGGCAGACGGCAAGTGGTTAATCCTTGCCTATGTTCTAGCTGGTTCTGTGACTGTTGCCCCAGGTTTCCTGTTGCAGGGTGGATTATTTCTCTTTCAGTGTCCTATAGTGCCACCATGTGTCTCCCTACACTTTGTGTATCAATCGAAACACACAGCCCTAGCAAGGAAATTCACTCCCCTGCTCTTCCCTCCTGCCTTCTCCAAGCTGATAGAAAGGCTGGAGACTACAGTGTCCACTGTTAACTCTTTCCTGTGATTGCCAGAAGTTCAGGGAAGCAGAACTGAGAGGGCATGTAGCCAGCAGCATTGAAAATTGTAAACAGCAAGTGCTGGGTTTAGAATTCTAACAAATAATTTACAGAGGAATGTTTATTTTATTGCGCTCACTGTGTTGAGCTTTACAGTAAAAAAATGCTTATTAAAGTACTACTTTAATATATTATGTTACCAGAAAATGTAATTTAGTAACAGAACCTATATTTCGTTGCACACCTTTTTGTGCTTTGCTAGACAGATACAAGTACACAACAAATTTAAACACGAAAACAAAACAGTGAAAGTGAGAATGATTATGATTTGGCATTGTTACTATGGAGGTTACTAACTGTTTTTATATTTGTAGCTACAATAAATCATGACAAGTACAGCAATAAATGATATATACAACGTTACCATGCAAACAAGTAAAGCCACAACACAGAACAAGGCTGTGTAATGTACAACAATCCTGACCTTAAAAGGACAAAATGAGTATGAAACACCTCTATTCCTTTCTTTAATCCCTGGCTTATGGCCATCACCCACGCTCACAATATCCAAATGTACTCCAACTGTATTTTATTAATAGACAGTAATGCTAAAAATGACTAGAAATGAAGACTATTTGAAAATTGTTAAGCATTTATTTACAATGCTTTATAAGATAATAAAATTAAATAAATGATTTTTATATTATTTTATTATTTAAGAACATAAAATATAAAACATTTAAAGAGATACTTAGATAATTAATAGCATTTTCATGACATGGCATTTTCCTAATGTACAACACTCTGTTATGTGTCTTTTGAACCCATATCTGTAAACTGTTTAACCTTTGTTAAAATAAAGGAATTATAAAAAAAAAAAACAAAAACATGAAATATAAAAAATAAAAAATGACTAGGAACACAACAAAAAATCCTCTCTTTTTAAATAAATTGGCTTAATTACTTTTGGATGTTTAAATTAAAAACTTGGACTTTTTGATCTTTGACACATTGGGGTTGATTTAGTAAAAGCAAATAGAGTGTGCACTTTGCATGTGCAGTTGCTCCAGAGCAAAGTAAATGAGGTAAAGCATCACTTTACAAAGAATACCCAATCACATGATTAGATGATGGAAGTCAGCAGAGCTCCCCCTCATTTAGTAAGTTTTGGTGCAAAGTGCACAGTATATTTGCCTCTAGTAAACCAATCCCAGTATCTATGCACCCTATGAAAAAAACTCATGCCCAGGCTACAAAACTCTACCGTAATTCTAGAGGTAGTATGAACTAGGGGCCTAAATGCTTCTTTTTATTCACAGTCTGTCCTTCATTTCCTGCACTTTTTGTGTACTGAATTTTAAACATCCATCCCTGTACCAGGCCTCCCTGCACTTGAAAAGTTCCTTTTTTTTTTTTTTTGCTGAAATAATCTCTAAGCTCCCTGCTATTTTTCACTGCTCAGGTTGCTTCCCAGGTTCCTCCCACCAAACTTCCTCAGAGGCTGGCCATACAGCAGTAAAATTTTGGTCAAATTTGTTTTGTTTTGGGAACATTTGTTTGATTTTCTAATGGTTAGTGGGGTAAAATCAATATTTTGTTAGACTGTACTGAAGAAGCAAGGTGGGAAAATTTCTCAAACTAACCAAATTCTAACCGTGAATTTGGCTTTTGTTTGAAAAAATTGTCCATACTGTAACAAAGCCTATTTATAATGCCTAGGATTCCATTTAAATAGTAGGTCTGGGTGAAATTGTAGGTGATGTCAAACACAAATAGTTGACTTGATGATGGCAAGAAAGAATGTTCTGATGTACACTTTTTCTACAAACATTTGACCAAAAATCTACA